TGGGTCATCACAAACCTGCATGCTCTCTTGCACACTCTCCTCATGGTTCGACTCACCTTCTGTTCCCACAATGAGGTGCACCACTTCTTCTGTGACCCCTACCCCATCCTGAAACTCTCTTGTTCTGACACCTTTATCAATGACCTGATGGTCTTCACTGTGGGTGGTGTGATATTCCTGACACCATTTACGAGCATTGTTGTTTCCTATGTTTACATCTTCTCTAATGTCCTGAAGATGCCCTCTGCCCGAGGGATAAGGAAAGCCCTGTCCACATGTGGGTCTCACCTCACCGTGGTCTCTCTCTTCTACAGGGCCATCCTGGGGGTCTATATGCGTCCTTCATCGTCATATTCGCTACAGGACACAGTTGCCACTGTCATCTTCACAGTGGTGACACCATTGGTCAACCCCTTCATCTACAGCCTGAGGAATCGTGACATGAAAGGAGCCCTAAGGAAGCTAGTCCTCAGATCCTAGGATCTGAAAATTTAAAGCTCAGAGGACTCCCAGCCATCATGCATTTGTTCATCTTTACAGAAAAACAGATGCACAGATTTGTATAGAATTCATGCACGGCTTTTCCTGTGACTAATAACAAAAAGTCATGGTTGTGTTTTTAAATTTGAAGCTGACAGGCACACATTTTCAAAAAAGCAGCGATGCGCCGCCTCTGAAAAGGGCTTATTCTAAGGGGCTCTTTTCACAGACAAGCAAGCCTGGGATAACTAGGTATGCTGTGGTTGGAGTTGGTCCCTCCCATCCTGTCAGATGCCTGCTCCCACAATGCCCCTGGGCTTTTACAGTACTTTAGAGCTGACCCTCCTCAGATCTGCTCTCTGGCCTCTGATGAGGAACATCCAGTTCATTTGCTGGCTGGTCAATGGCGTGTTTAACTCTGCCTCAGGCTTAAGCACCTCTGCTACAGCTGACATACCATCGCTTTGCAGATCCTCTGCCCCTCCTGCCCTGTTGTCCTTCTCCTCCTCAGCACGGACATTGGTCAGGGATGCGTGGTGCTCAGGGGTGAACACCAGAAGCCTGCAGACAGTAAGCGAGATGAACTTTAGAGGCAGAGGAGAAAAGATTTTAGAAGAAACAGTGTACAACTAAATCAAATACAGGAATAACCCAGCAAGTTATGAATATTTTAGATTAACAAATAGAAATCCATAGCCTTTATGTGAGTGGACAATGTCCGCCCACAAGACAGAATGGGAGAGGAGTTCACGTAAGAATAAAGTTAGCAGTAGATATGAGTATACACAGTTGCGCAAGGGAACGCATCTTTCCAATAAACAGCTGATTTCAACATCGCAGGGATGTGGTTTTTCTGTTTGTCTCTAACTGGAAAACAGTCAATGATGATAAAAAACACAAGACAATTTTATCTGGCACTCTAGAGACTAGCACTAGGCTTGCATAGAAACAGACATGTGTATTTATTTACATATAAATACACATTATAAACTCCTGTAATCAAAGCACAGAACAGTCCAAACACCCCACAGACTAGAGCAGGAGGAACGGAATCAGACAACAGCACACAGTGGTAGACAGGAACTGTAGACATGGCTCAACCCCGAATGGCAACTATGAAGTGGAGAAGCAGTCATGACTATCTCAGAGCTCCAGAGCCTGTCACAGCATGCAGTATCCTGGGACTCTGATGAAGTGAGACCGTGGCCCTTTAGTAGGAAAGGGCTTGGTATGCAAGAAGCACTCTCCCCATTCCTAAGTGGAGAACATTCCACTTCCTGAAACAGTTGGTGCTAAAGGGGGTCCAGGGCCATTGTCTCCCAAAATTAGTGGGTGGAGTGATGGGCAGGGATGTTAGCCTCCCTGAAGGAACTCAGGGCCACAATGCCTCGTCAGAACATAACAGGATTGATTATCAGCCTTTCCTCCTATTTCAATGTTTGCAGCCAGGCATTTAAGGAAGTCAAAGGGATGGTCCTCCACCCAATAAAGGGCATTTTACAAACAAACAGAAACTTTTTAGAGGACAATACATTTAAGATGAAAGACTAAATCTTCTCTCCTCTAACTCTGGGGACAAGGGACAGAGGCATGTCCCAGCCACCCCAGGCCAGCATTGCACTGGCAGGCCTATCTGCTTCAATGGTGCAAGAACAAAAAGCTGCAGAGACTGAAATGGAAAATAAGACCATTAATAACATTTGCCAGATACAGAAAATGCCAAGGGACACACCAAAACCAAACCAAATGAAGTAAGCAAACAGAACCCACAGAGAGAACCCCAAAGATGGCTAGGTTTTAAAGATGATAGTGTGTAAGGTCAATACTCAAAACTGAATCATGTTCCTGGGTGCCAATAGTGGAAACTGGAAGTCAACATTTTTTTAAAGTACACATTACATTAGTGTCAAATATGAGGCCAATCATGGTACCCAGTTCCCCAAACTCCAAATGGCAGTCCATATATCCAGAAATGAGCTCAAGATGGGCTTTGCAATTTCTGGCAGTTACATGAAAGCATCGCTCCTCAGGAATTTGTGAAGTCGGTTCCCATTTGCTGAAAGGAGTCATTTCCCTGACTTCCAGCTGAAGGGACAGCAACCATCCAGCTGGCCTGCAGGTTCCCTCAGTCAGTATGTAAACTTCAAAGTCCACACTAGTATCCTGGCTCTTCTCCCCTCCTCCCTTCCCCTAAACTCCCTCTAGCTCACAGACTTCCCTCCCTCTTCTAGTGTATACTAAAGACCAGGTGCTCACAATGTCAGTTGCCATGTTCCTGCCTCATGTCCAGATACTTCTGCCCATCAATCTCCTGGGATGGGGCAGTGGTCAATCTTCAGTACCTCTCCCTTCGTGGCCTCAGGCTCCTCACTTCTTTTGTTCTCCCACTCTTCCGGCTTATGGGTCCTTGCTGTGCTCACTTTCATCTCCTTCTGGACTCTGTCCTGCCCCTGACTGTAGCAATTTTGATCCTGATGAGTCTTGTCATCTTTTTTTCCCCCTGGACGTCTCTCTGCTATATGACAGCAACGTGTGTTCCTCCTCAGACACTGACTGGCTCCTGTCACTCAGCCCTCCCAGAAACACAGGAGAGGTAAAATAGTCTTTCTTCATGTAGGAAAGCCTAATAGTGATTTTCCTACAGCTTGCTTTCTTTCCTTCCTAGATATGTCCACCATGCCCCGTTCTCCCCCAATTCTCTTCTTCAGTGCTTTGTTCATTCTTGGCTGAAATGTTCCCCTGAGCTTTAAAAACTCAAGTAACTGTATTTTCGTCACTATTCAGCAGTCCTTCTGCACAGGCAGATTTGGGAGGGTTTCTCCAGTGGGAACCTGGCCGCATGGCATAGGCACCAACTATTATTTTTAATTTTCATTTCTATTTAACTTATTTATTTTATGTTATGGGTATTTTGCCTGCATGTATGTCTGATAACCACATGTGTGTGTGTGGTGTTTTCAGAGAGCAGAAAAAGGGATTTGGTCACTTAACACTGGAGATATGGTTGTGAACGACCCCTTTCCCTTTTTTATAGAAGTATGTCAGTGAGACATTTGAAATATAATAAGATGGATGATGGCTTTGCATTTATGTATTCACGAGTCTTCTTGTTCTCACCACAGGCTTCCTTGTGTTCCCTATATCTGTTTCCACGTATCCTCTCGGTTACTGCATTACATAGTCACTTTCCAAAAGAACCATAGCTTACACAAGACACATTCCCAACACTGCTCAGTACTGTTTTGTTGTTCTAAGTGATCCTAGGTGGAAGAATTATTGATGATGTGCGAAGTGAGCCCAATGGGTGAAGAAAACCAAAAGTTTTCTCCCTCTGATACTGAGGGATGTGGGATAGAAAGATGGTTCAACTGTTAAGAGCACTGGCTCTTGTGGAAGACCCAGGCTCGAGTCCCAGCACCCACACCACAGCACACAACCAGCTGTACCTTCAACTCCAGGGGACCTGGTACCCTCTTCTGGACTCTGGTGCATTGCACACACATGATACACAGATGTGCAGGCCCAATAGGTATACACATAAAATAATTTTTAAAATATTGAGGAACACTGGACTAAAGATAGTTTAAAAGTAGGCACTCTCACTGCTTTTCCTCTATTTGCTTGATGGCAGGACTGAGAACACAAAGGAAAAAAAGGTCTGTTCTTCCTTCTTCTCCATCTACCCTACCCTGCCTTCCACCCCAGAAAGATAAAGCTACTATAACTCTCCTCCTGTCCCTCATGAGTGCAGAGTTTAGTACCCAGAGGGTCCGGGTGGAACCTTGAAACTGGCTACAATCTCCCCACAGTCCCCTCTCCTCTGGTGGCAGGAATGCCTCCTCCTCTGTGACTTCAATGTACAACAGCCTTTATTAAAATAATGCTGGAATCAGAGTCCTGGGCCAAATAGTTACTGTGGTGAATAAAAATGTCCCGTACAGCTCTGATATTTGAACATCTGGTCCCAGTTGGTGGCGCTTAGGAGGTGTGGCCTTGCTGGAGGAAGCAGGCCACCAGGGGGCCACCCGACACAGCCCATTCACCCTCCCTGTGTCACGCTTGCCTTTGAAGATGAGTTGTCAGCTTTTGTGTCCTGCATTTTGCTGCCACGACTCTCTGTCACCATGGAGTCTTGTCCCTCTGGAACCATAAACGAAAATGAGCTTTCATCTATAAGCTGTGTTGGTCATGGTGTTTTATCACAGCAAAAGAAAAGTAGCTAATGCAGTTACTCTCCTGAGAGCCTTGATTTTCTCCTGAGTGGCCAGTGGCCAGTGGCCAGGTATTATTAGAGTAGGCAAGGAGTTAACAATTTGAGAAAGCAGGCAGATTCTCAGAGGTAACTTTTTTTTTTACAGTTTATTCATTTATATCCTGATTATAACCCCCTTCCTCAACAACTCCCGATCCCACCCTCTTTCCCTCTTCTCCCCTATCTCCATGCCCTAGTCCACAGAGAGAGTTCTCCTCCCCTACCATCTGCCCATAGCTTATCAAGTCTCATCAGGACTGCTTAGATCCTCTTCCTCTGTGGCCTGGCAAGGCTGAATAGCCAGGGGGAAGTGATCAAAGAGCAGGCAACCGAGTTCATGTCAGAGACAGCCCCTACTCCCGTTACTCGGAAACTCACATGGAGACTGAGCTGCCTATTGGTTACATCTGAGGAGGGGGTCTAGATCCTCTCCATGCATAGTCCTCGGTTGGTGCATCAGTCTCTGCAGGACCACCTGGGCTCAGAGGTTTTAGTTTTGTTGATCTCCTCGTGGGAATCCTGTCCCCTCCGTGTCCTTCTATCCCTCCCTTCTTCCAGAAGACTCCCTGCGCTCTGGACAAAGTCTGGCTGAGTCTCAGCATCTGCTTCCACCCCTGTGGTGGAGCCTTTCAGAGGACCCTCTATAGTAGGCTCCCATCCTGTTTCCTCTCCTCCACTGCTTCTGGTGTCTATCCTATTTGCCATTCTGAATGAGATTTAAGAATCCTCCCTAGGGTCCTCCTTGTTG